CCTGTGCCCCCAGCTATTTTTGGATGATAAACATTTGTATCAGGTCAACTAAACATGGGCATAGTAACAATATTTATCCGTTTAAAATACACTAACCTCACTCCTTTGTAACAACTAAGGCAAAAATGTCATTAATTCAGAAAATCTTTTCAGGACCCCACCTTGATGTTTCAGGACCCCACTTTGGGTCCCGACCCCAACTTTGGGAACCACTGCTCTAAGCTACTGTCTCTTGAAGAGTGAGAGTCACAAGCACAGCGCCACTCCTGTACAGTGGTGAACGTTGTAACGCACTGTTTCATTCAGATCGAGTCATGTATGCAGCATATTTWAAAAAAAAATTGTGACAACACATTTTATGACTAGTAATTAAGTTACTACTACTACTTATCACAATAATGTTATTTCAGGTGATGTCAACAAATTATGGTTATACTTTGATAGAAAAGGAGGATCTATGAAAGGCTAAGCTTTCGTGGTGACARTAATTAGAGGAATATCAGTCCACTCTGGCTAATGATTTTACCCAGTTTGACAGGGTGAATGTGTATATTGCTTCTCCTGCAGACTGCTGTCATGCTGCCACTGAAGGAAAAAGATAAACCCATCATCCAGAAGCTGCTCTCAGCTGGCTGCTGTGCCCGCTGTGTCCTCAGGTTCTGCTGCCTGAGCAACCAGGCTGCTTACCGACAGCCATCACAGGTTGGACTCTCTGATTCTAAACACAAACGACCTTACAGATTGATTCAGAAATGTTTTTTCTGTCACGTAAAAAAAACCTTCTATGGCTGATTGTCTCTCGTCCTATGCAGGAGATACTAAAAGAACTTCAAGATTTTATTACAGAAAAGAAAAGCAGCAAAGTTCCAAATTCTTCTACTGCTGAAAACAACAAGTCCCACGATCTAACTGTGTCAGAAACACTTGGAGACCCACCCAGTAAAAAATCTAAACTGGAGCCAATTGAGACTGTTGCTGAGTCAGAAAAAAACACTGCTGCTGTGGTCAGACGGAGGACTGAGGAGTTGCATGTTTGTGTTGTGTGTTTGGGAATCCTTCAGGGACTATGTGAGGCTGAACAGGCAGTAAAGGTGTGTGTGCGTGCTGAAATTTACTCATTTTCTCTGACAAAAAATGTTAAATTATCAAAGTATCAGGTTGGACCTGTTTCTGATGTATTTCACAGATTGCAGAGGCAGTTAAAAAGAGAAACTATGAGTTTGACACACTGATATTGTCCGTCTCTCTGCCTKCCCAGCTCTATGTCCGTGAGGTGCGTTTGTTTGAAGGCTACTTTGCATCAGTTTCACACCCAAACAACACAGTTTCTCTCATGGTTAATGAGGAATTTTTGTCCTCCTGCAGCACTCCTGTTGGCTCCATGTGAAGGAAGAAGTGAGGTGAGAGAGCTTGTCGTACATGTTAAACATCAGTACCTTTAAAGTCAGACATCATGTTGAAATAATGCTTTTTACTTTCAGTGAGAAGAGTCTGGTGATCACCAGGGATGATGTCATCCAAGTGAAGGAGGCCTTCAAGTGGACCTTGCAGGGTTTGGTTGCAAAGGAGATTGGGGGCATTGCTGTGGTTAACAAAGTAAGTAAAATCAAATCACCTGTATTAACAATAGCTCATTTGGCTTTTTTTTTTACTTATTATGGATGCTTTATTGTGAAAACATGGATATTTTACCATCTGACAACAGTAAAATGTGTAAAACGAGCAGATTTATAAAAAGTAAATAAGAAGCATGTAGATGTCTTTTGCTACACTAGAAGGCCCTATGTCACTATGACGTTTTAGACAACTTATGCCCTTTTGTCTGCTTTAACTTGTAAGTTGTACAAGTTAGGTGTAAGTTGTAAGCATGTTGCCAGATTGATGACCAAACAATAATTTTGGACATGCTCAAAATTTTCAGCTTATGCCAACATGTTGCTGATAAGTGAGGCATAAATTACAGGTATGGTTCAGATAATTATAATTTATGCATCACGTTACAGGTAAGTTATTCATTTGTCATTCATAAGTAAATAAGATATAKGATATAAGTCCAACACCAGCAGGACTATTCTGAAGCAGCATGTAACATTTTTAAACCCCTGCTGCCATCAATTAAGGCTCATGTGAAAACCAGTTTAACTTTTTCATAACGATTACTGTGTATTATAATAATATAATAATCCACGTATGAGCAACRTTCATGTAACGTTTGAACAAATAACAGACCTGAAATGTGCGTAAAACTGATCAGCAACAGTTCTGCATATGGTGAAAATTTTAATCATATTCAAAATTCTGCGCTGGGATCTCGTTATGACAACGTATGTCAGKGCTATTCAACTAAATTGCTCTGAGGGCCACAGTTACTGTAGGCCAACTGCTCAGGGGCCGAACATCCAGCAATGAAAGGCATTATGTAAATAAACCAAGTATTACAAAGATCTGTTACCTTTTGAAATAGTTTATTTTGCTGTATTTAATCATAAATACAACATACAGAACCCTATAAAAGTGTTGATAATTTAACWGTATCAAAGTTAACACATTATGCCTCCTGTTTGACACAAATATTATTTTGACATCTCTGACTTGCCAAATTTTTAAACCAATTTTATTTTTACGTTCATAATTTTATATTCAACTGCTTGTAATTTTAACTGTCTTGAATGTTCATAAAAATGTTTTTTACCCGCTTGTAGCCAAGATTCTGACGTTTCTGTAGATACCAAACATGTATATGTTTAACTAAAAGACCTTAGAGTAATTAAAGTAGAAAACCGGGGGTTTGGGCTGAAGAGATGAATGAACCAATTGGCGGGCCGAACTTTGGTCACTCGCAGGCTGGATGTGGCCCACGGGCCGCCAGTTGAATAGCCCTGACGTATGTCCTCTTATATTAACGTGTTTGTAAGTTATCCTAAAATTATGCCCAACTTTGCTGCCGATGTTGTAGTTTTCTCCATCACGCTGTGCAGAAGTTCTATTCAGAAGTTCCATTAGTCTTGCACATATGTGCTGCAGAAGTCCAAACATGTTATAATAAGCTTGTATACATTATATTTAAGTTAAGGATGACATGGAGCTCACTATGTTTTCAGAGCTCGTTTGAGGTAGGAGTGGAGTTCACCCACCCAGAGACTGACTCTGACTGCCACTTTCTGTGAGTCCTTACCTTGTCATAAACACATATTTTACAAAACAATGTAATTTGTCACTCAACAAAAATTAAGAACCTAAGGCATAGCATTCCTTGAAGGTATGAATATCACCTACCGTCTTTTGTTTTGGGAAATTATGTAGTTTTGATGTTTTAATTGAAAATATGTGCAATATCTTGCACTGCAAAGAGTACGTGTTATGAATGACTCTCAGCTTATACCAGACCAGATGTTTAGTTTGGTTTTTGTAAAATTGTCTGAAGTACAGCTGATGTTGTGTTGGTTAATGTCAATTAACTGTGGCAGCCATCTTGAATTGAATTGAATCCAGAAGTTGTAGACATTAATCCACTTGTGACTTTCTGAGAGTTTCATTGAAATCTGTTCAATGGGTCATGAGATATTTTACTAACACACTGGAGCACAAAACACAGATAAGCAGAAATACATTATTCTCCACCTTTACCTTTAACGGTGGGCAATTAACAAAATCCTGAAACACCAACACTACAAATTGCCTACAGTAAAAAGGTGAGTCCAGTTCAATATCTAAGGAAGACCCTTAGTGAGTTTTACAGTCAAGCATTACTTTAAGTAGCTTGATTAGAGTTATTTTAAAATGTGATATTTAAAAGTGAACTTATGAGAAGTTGACAGATCCTGAGCTTGTTCTGTCTTTGCAGAGCTAAATCCTGCCCTGACTGCTTCAAACCCACCAAGAACAAACAGGTGAGGAGGCAGAAGGCCAAATCCTGATTTTCAATCAGGCGTAAGAAGTTCAGGTCACAGAAACATAGTAAAAACCATCAGCTAACTGCAACTGCAAAGACGTCAGATAAAGAAATCTTTCTTTTGGTTATTCTGATCACGATACGATATACAGTATATCACGATATTCAGCGAACAATATGATTTTCTGAAAGATTTTAGAGGGACAGAGTGATTTTGGTGACATTTTGGGACTGTTCCATAGACTTGGATTGAATTAATTGAACTGAAAACTGATTAAAAGCACCAACTACACAATACCTGGCTTTGATTGGACAGAGACCTAGTATCCAGCTGGACAAAATTAATCAAAGATGCAGTGAGAAAATTTATTTCCTTTAATTGAAACGGCGCAAACTGTAGCTTACAAGGCTAAAATAATATTTGGTTCCATCCAGGTAACTTTGGCCAATAAAGAGCAAATGTTCCTAGATCTTCAGGATTTGTTGTTCATGATGAAAGGAATTAACTCAGTTAAAGGGCACCTATTTGAGGGTCCTAGCACAAGTTAGGATCCATCTGTGGGCTATACAAAACATCTTCATTTGATTTAATTCACAAAAAGAATCTCAAATAATGAAATTTCACTTTTTCAGTCCTGCCTCTTCTTTAGCTCTCTCCAGCTCGTACTGAATGCGGCAGTTGCTATGGAAAACCCCCCTCCCAAACGTTTGTTTACGTTAACTCCGCCCCCCCAACATGGTAGAAGTTTCCAAAGTGAAATTATTTTCACAAACTACAGCTTTTTTTGGCAATATTGTTAGAACATTGTCATCAAAGATAAAAAATTAAATTAATCCTGGCATCTGTTTTCCATGGCTGCTGTAAAAACAGCACAACTATCGCCCGTGAAGAAGTGGGCGGAGCTTCACCTCGGGTTGCCTCATGAGGAGCAGGACTCTGGTTTAGTTTGCTAGGTGACTGTTATTGTGATGTCACAATAACGTGCTTTGAGAAAAACCATGTTTCCAGATACCTAAAAATACATGTAATTACAGCTAAAAAAAACAGCTGGGTGCATTTTTTGGTGTTCGTACTGCTTCTCTAAGCAGTAGAGACCCAAAAGTAAGTTTAAAAACATGAAAAAAGTGAGTTTTGCATAATAGGTGCCCTTTAAAGACTTGGAGGTAAATTATTTTGTTCCCATGTTACAGAGGAGGAACAGATTATTTTAAACAACTGAAATATTTGGTTCTTGTATCAGCAATAAAAAATTTTTAAATACATACAATCTGTTGGAAGACAGTGTTTGGTGACTGACTGATAAACAATGAGGCTAAAGAGAACATGAGAAAAGTTGGAAAAGGACTGATTCTCTTTGTGATTAAAAAAAAGGCCAGGTTTATTTATTTATTCATTTTAGAGTGTTTTTTTAACAGCAACTGATGATTAAACTGAAAGTTACAACCTTGACAAGTTTATGTGAGTCCTTTTACTGAGAAATTGATCAGAAGTGCTGTGAAAATGGTCGGATCTGCCTCTCTGGCTGCAGTGTGCCCTCCAGACACAGGGGGAACAGATTTTCACACAACTCCTCCTAAGCTCGAGGAGTTAGACGCATGCCTGCCTGCCTGCCTTCTGTAATGTGATGGCTGACTATATTCTGAAAAAATAGCACCCTGGACGAGACACTTCTATTTGGCTTAAAATACAGACATTGACTAGTAAGGGACTGTTCGTAACCTTACCTCAGAAGGCAGAGGGTTTCGATCTTTTCTCCTCAGATTCAGCTATTGGTGTATGAAGCTAATGTTTACTCACGATGTCCTGATGCATCTCAGTAATCCAGGTAGAAAAAATCTAAATGATCAGAGCTCTCTTTTCCACTTCCTCCATGTACAGGTTTGCAACAATAGGGGAAACTGGGGAGCCCATAGCACACCCATGTTTCTGCCTACAGTATTGCCCCCCATATGTGAAATAGGTTTATTCCAGGCACAGTTTCAGAAGTTGACACAGTTGGTCTGTGGAAAGAGTGGTTCTGCTGCTGAGAGTGGTGTCTGATTTTAATCTTACACAGACCACCTCCACCGCCTTATCAACAGGAACGCACGTAAAGAGTGATGCGACTTCAAAGGAGACCATAGTTTCATCCGTCTCCATGGTGACATCCCTCACCTTGTTCACAAAGTCCATGGTGTTCTGTATGTGATGTTATAAACTGCCAACTAATGGACCAAGTATAGACGTCAGATATTTAGAAACATTGKAAGTGACAGAGTTRATCATGCTAACAATAGGTCTTACYGGTACATCCTGTTTGTGAATTTTGGGTAAACCATACAGAATAGGAGTGGCCTCACCTTGGTACAGTGTGTGGTACAGAATGCGGTTAATAGTCTTGTCCTGCTCTAACCTTTTCAGGCACTCTATCAACTTCTTCTTGTATCTACTTCCTGGATCTCTTTTCAGTGGCTTGTATGTGGTCTTGTCACTAAGGAGTGTCATAACCTTCTCACGGTAGTCTTTCTAGTTCAGAATCACTGTGCACCTTCCTTTGTCTGCTGGGAGGTTGATGATGTTCCTGTCCTTGCTGAGGGTGGTGAGAGCGTCTCTCTCTTCTCTACTGATGTTGGCAGGTGGTGGTTTGGCATTGCTGAGACAGGCTGAAACATTGTTCCTAAGTTGTTCTGCTTCAAATACTGGGATTTTGTTGTTGCGAATGGCTGATTCTGTGGCTGTAATCATCTCAACCAGAGGAATTCTTCTTGGTGCGACCGCAAAGTTCAGTCCTCTGGACAGGATTTCRGTTTCTRGCTGGGTGAGTTCTCTGTCAGATAAATTCTTCACCCACTTCTCTGTCTCCCTGGCATTTGCTTGTGCTCCTGTGTGTTGTTCTACCTTCTGTGAGTTGTTGGAATTACGAAGGGACTGTCGAGTTACCAGTAAAGTGAACTTCTTTTGTTGTCAGGTCTTGGACTTGATATGCTGAGCTAAACCTGCCTTTTCTGTAAAATCCATAACCTGTTGGAATGTGGTCTGATCTAGATGTTTTGTTAATTCTTGTCGGATGTGTTCCTCTTTGGCTTCTATAGCTTCAATGGTAAAGTTGCTCTGTCTTACTCGTTCGTTCAAAAGCTGGGTCTGTGCCCTTTGTAGGATCTTACTTGCCCGTTGTCCACCAACAGATGATTTAAGTTGAAAGCTTCTAGGAAAGATGCCACTTTGTCTGCAACAAAGATTAAATCTCAGATGGTTTCTGTAGTCCGCCTTCTTTCTTGCTTTTTGCTCAAACTCTCGAACTAGTTTCATGCAATCCTGGCCAAAGTGGTTCAAAATGTCTTGATGCATCTCAGTAATCCAGGTAGAAAAAATCAAAAAGAAAAAATAAGTAGGTCCTCTGGATGGGTTCTTCTTTAGTGAAACGTTTCATCTCTCATCCAAGAGACTTCTTCAGTCTGATGAGTTTCAGGTGAACTCAGCCTTAAAAGCACTGCCTCCACATGGTGGACAAAGAGGTCAGTCACATGCAAAAGAGGGCCAATTGCTTAACAATAGGCTTGATTGGCTCTATTGTTCATAGAGGGTCATGTACACCATCACCTGACTTATTGGTTGAATGCTGTGGTTCTTATGCTATGTTCACACCGAACGCGTTTTGAGCGGCCAAAAAGCGCAAAACGTCTCTCGTTGGACGCACTATTTTCAGACAGAAGAACGCACTAGTGTTCAGACCAGAACAAGTAGCGGCAGTAGCGAGGTGTGGGAGGAGCGTGTCCTCAGCGGGTGAAATAAAGATAAAATAAAAGAAAATGGCTTTGATTTTTTTACTAAAAAGCAAGCGAACATTGCGCACAGCAGATAATTAACTCACCAGATGATTTAGAGGCGATTTGTTCAGTTAGTTTTGTCACTCCAGAAGCTGCCAGCTGACTGACCTTTTTTTTGTTCTGAGCAGCTGATCCACATCAGTGCTGACATATCCTGCCAGAAAATCCAACTGCACACGGTCGATTTCAGGTAAAGATTAGGGCTGCACCGATTAGTTGAAATAATCGATGACGATTATGTAAATTTGTCGTCGCAGATTTTTTATTATCGATTTGCTGTATTACATAACCACCACGTGAATGTTCATGCAATTCYATTTCGGTACCTAAATGCATCATTGCGACCGTATTGGCATAAGAATGGTGAGTTTTCCATGCTTGTCCTGAACGCAGCATCACAAGAGCGTAATGACGTCAGCAGCTGCTGCTTCAGTTCAGTCTGAAGTTTGAAAACAAGCCTCGCAGCTCCTGGAGTAAAATTTACCGAACAGACGCCTCTGAATTATCTGGTGGATTAATTATCTTGTGAACATGACGTTCGCTTGCTCAAAGTAAATAAAGTACTGGAAGAAATTCGTGTTTTAATATCGGCTGACAATCGGATGAAAACACAAATGTTAAATAAACTGATCTGCTATAGGAAATAAATGTCATACAACACCAGAATTCTGGATCTGAGTGAGGCTTATTTGTCACCGGACTGACAAGCCAAACCACAGTGAATGGAAAAACAGGAAGTCCCCGTTTAAATACAGTACACATTCTTCATTGCCTGAGTTCGCCCTCTGCTGGCCTACTGCTGAATCACAGGCATTCAGACAAAAAACCTCACACTTATGTTAACACAGCTTTTAATTATGTGTTGTTAATAATTCGGACATGTATCTACTCTATTTCAATTAACACATAATAGATCAAACATTATAAAARTATTATAATAAGAAACCCCTACTACTCTGGTGTTGTTTCTGAAATCAGTACTGATCTGTAATAACTATAAATTTCTTCAGTAGCACCACTTTCTTTATTTCATCCACCATTAAACAGAGAGCGGTGTTAGGTGGAGCCACGTTCCCCCATCAGACGGTTCCCCCAGCATCTCAAACAACAGAGGAGCTTCCCGACACACGTCTGACCTAAAGAGCACAAGCAGCCAACAAGTGTTGGATGTGTTTTGGATGTTCAAAACRTAGCTTAAATACCTTTTATTTATTTTAACTGCATCCTCTTTTGTTTATTTGATTTAAACTTATTTACCTTCATGGACCTCCATCACATAATGTTTCTAGTGGGGAAATGACATCAATAGAAACACGTGGAGCTGGATTTTAATTTGTGCAATAAGACAAAACAGTCTTGTTGTTTTCAACAGTTTTCACCTTAAAGAAATAAGTTACACAACTGATGTTACAATACAAAGAGTTGGATGTTGTCTTGATATTTGTTAAATTTTACATATTGACAAATATGTTAAATAAAAAATAAATAAATGTTTATTATGTGTTTATTATAGGTTTTCCAGAGAGTGACTTGAATTTTGAATGATTTAGTTCATTTGTTAGATTGTTAACATCTTGCACTATATTTCTTTTAGTTGAATTTTATATGCTTTGGTTGAGATTTTATGTTGATGTTAAATCTTTTAAGCTTTTTTTGTTAAAGAATTGACTCTAGAGTGCATGTTTTGTGTCCATGAAAAAACTATTACAGAAAATATTACAATATTAAAGAACTGTTGTTGTTAATTTGATGAAAACATTTTAAATATCCAGTGCACTCACATCAGAATAACTTCAGCGAAAAGCCCAGATTGCTGGCTTTCAGGCACTGTTTAAATTTTTCAGATTGCGCAATTATTCGAGAACTTACATTAAAAAAAAACAGTGTCAAATATGTGTTGGTCGACTGCTGTTGTGAATCTTAGCTGAAAATTTTCCCTTCAAGCAAAACGTATTACAAGCGCCCCCTTTTGGTAAATATTGCTGCCAACGCCCCCTGGCACCGTCTCAGCGGCCCCTAGGGGGCGGTACCACCCCCGCTGAGAAACACTTGACTCTGAAAATCTTCTTGATCTTTTTAGCTTCAAAAGTCTTCTTTACTTGAAATTCTTCTGTTCTTCTTTGCTTGAAAATCTTCTCCATCTTTTAGCTTCAAGAATCCTATTGGTCTTCTTTGCTTTGAAAGTCGTCTTAGACAATTTTCTTTGCCTGAAAATCTTCAGATCCTCTGAGCCTTCTTGACTTGGGTGCTGCACTGAGGAGTACGACCCAACTTCCTGTTAAGAGCTCTTATTTTTTATAGTTTAACTGCACCAGATGGAAAGGTACGGAGCCCGCCAGGGGTCAGTGGTGAAAAAATAAAAACAGCCGCCGGAAATCCGTGCGCACAGATTACTAAACTGAGCACACGTATTACTAAACTGTGCTCTCAGTTTTGCAGTCCGTGCGCACGGATTGGGTCTTAGATCTGTAGACAAGTTGGACGCATGGTATGAAGCTGCATCTGCAAGGTAAATTCAGTGGATCTGTTGTCATATATAAACTTAAGGCACTGTCGTGTTTTCATCAGCACACTTTTTAGCCACAGAATTTTCCTGAAAGTTTCATCAAAATCCAAGGTATTATTTATTTATTTTCATATTTTCCAAACAAATGATTCCTGAAACGGAGGTTAGCCTCCTCCGCCCTCCCGTCCCCCCTTTTGTTGTACAGGAAAGACAATAAACATCCGACAACAGCTGGAGAAGACCTCCGAGCGGTTTGCTATCGAGAAATGTCACCGTGTGGCGAGCTTCATCTGCAAAATGATGACCCGATGGGAGCTGTGGCTCCGCTCGAACTCTATTTGTTTCCAACTTTATTCCACTGTGGTGTAATAAACATTTTTGAAAGAGTAATAAACATTTCCTAAAAGTTTAACATAAATCTATTCAGTACTTTTGTGATATAACCCTGAGAAGGCAGCTGGCTAAATTTAGCCAAACTTCCCCGTTKTCAGGCAAACCGTAAACATTCGGCAACCAGTCCGAGCGGCTTCCTGTGATGATCCGATCGGAGCTGAAACAGCCTTTAGGAGACCCAGTACCAAAACTGCCTGATAGAGGGGCAAAAACTATACAACATACTCAAATTCCAACATTTTCTGTGCAGTACTTTGACTTTAGTGAACAAAAAACGCTCCTTAAGCACTTTCTGAGCTGATGAACTACTTCAGTTCCCACAACCACCGTTACCATCCAACCTCTCCAGATGTCCGTAATCTGTGCGCACGAATTGCAGAAACTGTGAGCACAGTTTAGTAATCCGTACGCTCAGTTTAGTAACCCGTGCTCACGTTTTAGTAGTCTGTGCCCACGGATTTCCAGCGGCCTTTTTTTTTTCTCCCACTGACCCCTGGTGGGTTCCGTAGAAAGTACCTAAAACTTCCTTGTATTATGCCCTTCTGATTTGCTTGTCACCCTTCAATGGTTACAACAGTTACATCTAGCTGCACTTTCCTTTCTCTTACACAATTTCTGCTTTTTCTCTACCAGCACACACACATCTGCTCATCTTACATCTCCTTTAATCTTTCCAAAACTGCGACTTTACTATTTAGACATTTTGATTAGTTATAAACATTCAAATGTTCAAGAATAACATTCAAAAGTAAATAATCATATAATATAATCACAGAAATCATCTCAATAATGAAGCATCCTATGAATCAAAAGTTTCAGGATACATATTGATTAGTAGATCCTGATTATACATTTTAACAGATGTTTTAATTATCTGAACTACTTATTAAGGAAGTCAATCAACTTAGAAGCTTCTTCCGCACCATCTTCACCCAAGCATTTCCAGTTTCTGCTTGGCCAACACAGGGCAAGTTCTCAGATCACTTGACAAGTGTTAAACCTCTTAACGAAAGGTCAGTTATGCTCTTAACCRGTTAGCGGGAACCGTGCCCATCACTGCTGTTTTTCATCATAGTTGTTTGATTTTWTTTTTTTTTTTTCAGATGAACTTATCTGACCTGTGTCCTATTTCTCTTCTGCAGTCTGTGTTCACTCGCATGGCTGTTGTTAAAGCTCTGGAAAAGATTTCTGATGCCAAGTTCCTGGAGTAAGCAACACTGAAACAAAACATTTTTAGAAAGCAGTATTTGAAATGCTTAGTATTAAGTTTTGCTTTCCTGTTCCAGATACTACCCTTGTCCTCCAACTCCTCCCAGCAGCAACTGCATCCTTCAGGATGTTCAGTGTCTCCATGTCTCTGTTTTTATTGCTGGTAAAACACACATTTAGAACATTTTTTGCATATTTTTCATACTAGAAGTCACCTGAACTAGCTCTCCTTTGAATGTTCAGGAAGATACAATAAGTTCTCCCGCAGTCTGCCTCAAACTCCCTGGCTGATCGATGGAGAGAGAAGAATGGAGTCTTCGGTGGAGGAGCTGATTGCAACGCCCATCCTGTCTACATTCAGAGCAGACGGTGAGCCTATGTTTAAACACACAGGCCCAACAGGTCCAAACGTAGAAGTCTTTCTTGAAAGATAAATCGTCTCATACTTCAAAATATAAACCAAGAAATAGATTTTCAGCAGGTTTAAATTAGGATAATGCAGAAAGAAAGTCATTTAATGATTTAGAAAACCTATCCCTATTATGTTTTGTTTCTGTTGCAGGGTGTCCGCTGGTCCTTAAAAAGCCTTAAATTCACTTATCTAAAATTAAGACCTTAAAAATTCTTAGATTTGTAAAAAAAAAATGTGCAAGTTGGTCTTAAATTTGTGATTCAAAGGTCTAAAATTTTGTCGGGCAAAAGCAACTAAAGTTTTCTGTCTCCCCCGGCCGTCTCTGCATTTCCTGTTGCGAAAAAAAAACTTATTTTGTTGTGGTACAGCTGTTTTCAACCAATAAAAAGAACCAGAGTCATAGTTTTAGCCAATCAGAGCAGAGCAGGGCGAGTCTTGCAGTCTGTGAGCAAAATCACAGCCACAGGTGAAGTAATCAAAGTAGCTCAGACCTTTTTTCCAAGGAGTACACCTCAACCCGCTACCAGAACCACCTGCCCCGCATGAAGGTGAAGTCATGTAATAAATTATTAACTGTCTTAAGTATTAAATGTATGTGTGTTTGAGTTCGCTGCAGCCGAGGAGATACCTGAACTGATTTACCGTTACTTCAGCCCATCTTCCAGAACTGAGCCCCGTCCTCCATCTCCATCTCCATCCGCTTGTCCATAGTCAGGTCGCGGAGGCAACAGGTCCAGGAGAGAAACCCAGACATCCCTCTCCTCAGCAACACTTTCCAGCTCGTCCTGGAAAGTGAGATTTTTGTCCCTGTAAACTGCCGGGAATTTAGCTAATTCACGGCAATTATCAGCAATTTACAGCTCCTCGTGTTCGCATTCTCCTGTGCTGAAAACGTAATGTAATGCACATAACTACTGTTCCCTGAAGGAAAGGAACGAGGTACAACAACATGTATGGGAACCCACGCCCCTGCATGTCCTGGCTGAAAGCCACCTCTAATCACGCCTTTAGGCAGGTGACGTGATGACGATAGATGTCAGCCTCCGCCTGCACATATATATACTGTCGCCATCACAGTCAGTCCTCAGTTCGGTAACTGCTCTTCACCGAGCCCAGCTGTGCAGCGGGGCCACCATGTGTTGTACCTCGTTCCTTTCCTTCAGGGAAGAGTAGTTATATGCATAACATTATGTTCCCTTACAGTCAATTCACTCGGTACAACAACATGTAATGTATGGGACATATATAAACGCCCCGCAGAGCAGCACCAAACTTGGGTCATATTAACATGCTAGTGCAGCAGTTCAGACC